TAGTGCTTTACTTATTCGGGGCTTCTTCCCTTTCCATATAAAGCTAGTGATTAGTTTTTCCATCTCTTTGAAGAATGTTGTTGGTATTTGGATTGGGATTGCGTTGTATTTGTAAATTGCTTTGGGTAGAATTGTCATTTTCACAATGTTGAGTCTGCCTATCCATGAGCGTGGTATGTTTCTCCATTTATGTAGATCCCTTTGGGTTTCTTGCAGTACCCATAGGGTTTTCTTGACTGTAATCTTTACAGAGGCAGATCACCAGGTCTTTCTCTGGCAGAGCCACTGAGTAGGTTTGAACCACCAACCTTTTGGTTAACAGCTGAGCACTTAATTGTTGCACCACCAGTGCTCTTTAAAGGAAATTACCTGTTGCCATCAAGTCGATTTAGACTCATAGTGACCCTGTAGGACAGAGTAGAACTGTCCCATAGGGTTTCCAAGGAGTGGCTGGTGGATTTGAACTGCCAACATTTTGGATAGCAACCGAATGCTTAACCACTGCACCACCATAGCTCCATAAAGAAAATTAGGTACTAAATATTTGGAAGTTTGGCTTTAAAAGGCAAGAAGGTGAAGACAGAGGGTGGTCAGGTAGCAAGAAAGCTTCTGGTTGGAAAATGATAGCCACAAGGTTAATGCTGACTGTGACCTTTTTTCTTCTGTTTCTGCCTGCGGATGAGGAGCAGGAGTTGGTTGGGTTGAGAGGGAGTCAGTGCCCAGAGAACTGGCTGTGGCACTGTGGTAGGCCACCTAATGCTCTCTCGTGGGTGAGTTTGGAAGTAGGAAGGTCACACTTTCTAGAAAGAAAGCTAAAAATGGAAGGGAAGCTGTTGGCAGGATGAAGTCCTACAGCCATGAACAGGCCTTAAAGAATGTAAAGTCAACACTCATGATGTTAATTTTCATTAAGCCTGAGGAAAATTAAGGTTATACTAAGCAGGAATCGTTAATTAAGGATAAGTTTTCTCTCCTTAAAATACACGATCATACCTAGTTGTTTGCATTTCTTTAACTCTTTTCAAGTTATGTATTCTATTTAAATATTAAATTAATATGGTTAATAGTTAATAGCTGTTTTCAGTGTATCCATCTATTCTTATTATAAAGCATGACCAAGTGGAGTAAGCGAAACTCTTTTTAAATTAATTATGTGTTTGGAGAGCTAGGCTGTTTAGGCCATGAGGCTAGCACCGATCAACATTGCCTTTTGATGATATTATATGAAAGTTACAGGCAGAGTGCCCAGAATAAAAAACACAAAAAGCGTTCTGGCACCTAAGAATCACTTAATATTGGTTGAATAAATGAATTATTGACCTTTAAACTCAAAATTATAAATGAACAGTTAGGTAGGGGATAGAATTGGAGATGTGGTGGCGCAGTGGTTAAGTGCTAGGGCTGCTAAACAAAAGGCTGACAGTTTGAATCCACCAGGTGCTCCTTGGAAACCCTAAGGGGCAGTTCTACTCTGTCGTATAGGATCACTATGAGTCGGAATCAACTTGACAGCAATGGGCTTGGTTTTTTTTTCCTTTAGGGGATAGAATAGGGTACATTTTAGGTGAAGATTGAAAACTGTTGTACCATAACAGTATCCTTGTGAAAATCTTTATAACATTTGCTGTATATTTTTTTCCTTAATCTTTGGAAAATATTTTTAGAGTGTTTTATATGTTATAATATATTAGGGAAAACCCAAGTGGCTTCTCATGGGTGCTATGTATTATTATTTTCATTTAGCAGGCTATTGCATAAATTATCACTTGTGCCTTTTTTGGTAAAATGTGTTGAATGCTTCACACTCGAAACTAAAAATATTTGCAATTACACTATGCTGTATGACAAAAGTGGGATATAAATAATGCCTTTAAAAGGATATCAGAATATATTAATGGAAATAAAATTTACTTTCTTCATTTCTAAGCTTAGTATGAAAAAAAACAAACCCAAACCCATTGCCATCAAGTCGATTCCAAAGCTTAGTATAGTTATATAAATATTTATTGAAGACCTAATGTGCACCAGTCATTCTGTTAGATACAGGGATTGATATTGTTTAAAGTCCCTGAGAAGTTACAAAGGAGCCTTGGTGATGCAGTGGTTAAGCACTCAGCTGCTAACTGAAAGGTGGGTAGTTTGAAGCCACAGTCACATCTTGAAACAAAGATGCGGTAGTCTGCTTCGGTAAAGATTACAGCCTTGGAAACCCTGTGGGACAGTTCTACTCTGTCCTATAGGGTCACTATAAGTCGGAATCGACTCGACGGCAGCAGGTTTGGTTTGGTTTTTCTGGGAGATCTTGTTGCTGAGAGAGGTAGTCCTCGTTGGGTCTTTTGTATTCTCCTACACATCTTGCTGGATAAGCCAAGACTGCAAGTCTCTGACTGCTCTTTAACATGTGCCATTTCTCAGGGCTGTTTGTATAGTTGGTAACGTTAAAAGACAAGGTAATGTCCTCTCCCTACCTCAAACAAGGAGAATAGTTGCTTCCTGCTTGCTATAAAAGCAGTGGACCCCCCCCCACCCCAAGTTCAGTGTTCCTCTCCTGTAATGCAGTCTACTTCATGTGCAGGAATCCATCTGGGCCCTTTACATAACCCTCTTGGGACTTGGGGGCAAGGGGAACCAACACAAACAAGCTGATGCTCATGCTGCTTGTTGTGCTGTAAGTAATAAAGTCCTTTGTCTCTGACCCAGAAGTCTTGTGTCTTCTGGCAGCATCCATTAAACAGTAATAGATTTACTTATTAGCTTGTAAACAGTTGCTGCTGAGTCAATACCGACTCACGATGACCCCATGTGTGTCAGAGTAGAACTGTGCTCCACAAGGTTTTCAATGGCTGATTTTTTCAGAAGTAGATCACCAGGCCTTTCTTCTGAGGTGCCTCTGGGTAGACTTCAACCTCCAACCTTTTGGTTAGCAGCTGAGCATGTTAACTCTTTGCACCACACAGGGACTTCCAGCTTGTAAATAGTGTAAAATCAAACCACAGACCCTACACTTGCCATCATCCTAGACCTGAGAGAATTCTCACAAATTATTTTTCAAGGAAAATAAATACCTTGTGAAAATTAACCAAGCATACATGATTAAAAGGCACCATGAATGGTAATCAGCCGAAGTAACAGGCATTGGAAGCAGATGCACAAAGACTTCAAATATTGGCATTATGAGGCAGATTATAAAATAACAATGTTTATAATTTCTGAAGACATAAACGACAAACTTGAAAATATCTACCAGTAACTGGAAATTGTAAAAAAAAAAAAGACATAATAAAATTAAAGAATAACTAACTCAAACATCTAGAAACGAAAAACAAAATAAGTAAATAAACTTCCTGGATAGTTTTAACAACATATTAAAAATAAAAAAAAACCGTTGCCGTTGAGTCGATTCTGACTCATAGTGACCCTATAGGACAGAATAGAACTGCCTCATAGGGTTTCCAAGGAGTAGCTGGTGGATTTGAACTGCCAACCTTTTAGTTAGCAGCCGAGCTCTTAACCACTTCGCCACCGGGGCCCCAATCAATATATTAGACATAGCTAAAAAAAATAATTAGTGAAATGGATGATAGGTCAGAAAAAATCATCAGTAATAAAGCTCAGCGAGACAGAGGTGAAAAATGTGACAGATTAAAATTCATGGAGGTAGAGGGAGAAAGTATGAAATATTTAATTGGAATACCAAAAAAAGAGGAGAGAGAAATGGGCCAAAGACAATATTTGAAGGAGTAAAGCTTGAGAATTGTTGACACTAATAAAAAATATGAAATCCTGGTTTTTAAAAGGCCAATAATTCCAAAGCAGAAGTTAAAAAAAGTAAAACAAAACAAACAAACAAAAAACCCCGGAAATCCACAAGTAGACACATCACAGATCTGTAGAATATCAAAGCAAAGGGATGATCTTAAAAACAGCCAGAGGAAATGACAGATTATTTTCAGAGTGCAGCAGCTGAATCAACAAGCAACTTCTCAATGGCAGTAATGGAAGCCAGAAGACGATGAAAGGATATCTTCAAATATGATGGATAAAACAACCTTCTCTCTGGAAACAAAACAAACACCAAAAAAAAAAAACAAAAAACAAAAAAAAACTGCCAACCTAGAATTCTATACACAGTGAAAATTTCTTTCAAGAATAAGTGTGAGTCTAGCTCAATTGGCATAACACAGTTTATAAAGGCAATGTTCTACATTCTACCTTGGTGAGTAGTGTCTGGGGTCTTTTAAAAGCCTGTGAGCAGCCATCTAAGATAACTCCACTGGTCTCATCCCTTTGGGAGCAAGGGAGTGTGAAGAGAACAGGATACAAGGGAAAGATTAGTCCAAAGGACTAATTGTCCACAGCTACCAAGGCCTCCACCGGACTGAGTCCAGTACAGCTAGATGGTGCCCGGCTACCACCACTGACTGCTCTGACCAGGATCATAACAGAAGGTTCTGGACAGAGCTGGAGAAGGACGTAGAACAAAATTTTAACACACACACACAGAAAACAGATTTACTGGCCTGACAGAGACTGGAGAAACCTCTAGAGTATGGCCCCCAGACACCCTTTTAGCTCAGTGGTGATGTCACTTTCAAGGTTCACCATTCAGCCGGGGAGTGGACAGCCCCATAAAACCAAATGGGACTAATGAGGCACAGCAGTCCAGGGACAAGGACTAGAAGGCAGAAGGGGACAGGAAAGCTGGTGATAGGGAACCCAAGGCTGAGTAAGGATAGTGTTGATGTGTTGTGAGGTTGTTAACCCTTGTCATAGGGCAACATGTGTACTGTTTAATGAGAAACTATTTTGTTCTGTAAACCTTCATCTAAAGTGAGAATAGCAGCACAATTGGAAGAGCATAGTCGTTGTCACTGAACTGTGCCTGTAGAAATTTTTGAAATGGTGTATCTTTGGCTTTGTATATTTTCATCAAAAAAAAAAAAAAGGTTGAGAAGGGAGAAGAGATGACATGTCGTGGGGTTGTTAACCAAAGTCATAAAACAATATGTGTACTACTGTTTAATGAGAAACCATTTGTTCTGTAAACCTTCACCTGAAGTACAATAAAAAATAAATAAATCCCTAAAATATGAAAATCAGAAAAAAAAAAAAGAGTAAGTGTGAAGTAAAGAGATCTCCAGACAAATACAAACTGAGCCAGTTTGCCACCAGCAGACCCCTTACTAAAGGAAGTTCTAAAGGATATGTTTTAAGCAGAAGGAAAATGATCTTATATGGAAGGACTGAAATGTAAGAAGGAATGTAGATTAAGAAATATATTAACTATGTGGGTAAATGTAAATATTGTTTAGTAGATCAAAAAGAAAAAATAGGGAGAGATAAATTTAGAATACCAGCCAATAATAACAAGTAAGTCAGAAGTGGGTGTGTGGCTATAAAAAGTTTGAAGTGCTAGTATGGCTTGGAAGAAGGTAAAGATGTTCATTAACTTAGATTTTGATTCGTATGTGTTATGTATTGAATTCTTTGTTGTTGTTGTTAGGTGCCCTCAAGTTGGTTCCGACTCATAGGGACCCTATGCACCACAGAACGAAACACTGCCGGGTCCTGTGCCATGCTCACAATCATTGTTATGCTTGAGCCCATATGTATTGAATTGTGTCCCCCCAAAAGATTGTCGAAGTCTTAACCCTTGTTATCTGTGAATGTGACCTTGTTTGGATGCAGTCTTTCTTTGAAAATGTTACCAGTTATGTTAACAAAGTCATACTGAATTAGGGTGGTCCTAATCCATTCTGAGTAGTGTCTTATGAAAGGGGAGAACAGAACTCTTAAAAATATAGGTAACACTCATCTTTTGTGAATTGGAGTGGATGCTTAAACTGTTACAGTTCTATCTTCTTTCTGCCACTGTATGATTCTTATTTTTTAGAGTAGGAAGACGACTTATCCTGTGGTCCACAAGCATTGGCAAATTTTTATTTGGCATAGCAGTGGCATTCACCTTTGATTATTACAGCTTCATGGTCACACGCTTTCTTCTTGCCATGGTGAGTAGTGTTTTTTACCTCTTTAATCCTGCAGCATTTCCATGTTAAACCATAACTCTCTTTGGTTTGTTCATTTAAGATCTAGATTAAGGACGAACCTTTGTTCACTCCACTTCAGAAGTCTTTCTGTGGGTTATTAAAGACTTACGTTTAGAATGGAACTGACTAAAATGAAAAATTCTTGCTTACTAGGCAGAAACATTTTGTTTGACTCAATGCCTGGCACATGGCCTATATATCATAATTACCAAGGCATTATTTTATTTCTGGACAATTGTATTGGTCTAGTCAGGTCCTGTTTATACATGAGCCAAACAAGTGGTTAAGGTGTATTACTGAAGTCATTTGTGTAACACACAGTAAGAATGAAAATAAGAGGGCATTAGAATTATATTTTATGAGGAGGAAGAGAGTGTAGCAGAAAGAGCATGAGTTTGAATACCAGCTTTGTCATACATTGACATGTTAGCTGTCTGACCTCAGGCAAACACATTATCCTCTTCGAGTCTTAGTTTCTCATATGTAAACTGCAGAGAATAATACCTCCTTCATTGGGTTGTTATCAGGATTCAGTGAGATTAAATGTAAACATCTGTGGTACAGAACCTGGCGTAGAGTACGCACTCCTCACAATGGTAATTATTATTGAAAATGGACTGGGGAGCAAGGAAGCTGTCTCCACACTTGGTGAGGCTTCCAGACAGATCTCCAAACTACCAGACAACAGGGGCAGCCATTCTCTTTGGAGGCTACAAATCAGTGATAATGGAGTGACGTTTTCATCTAAGGTAAAAACTTGTGATTGTGCTGAAGGCAGAAGGGGCATGTAGAAAAACCCCTCTAACCAGGGTGGGTAATCTGGGCGTCTAGAGAGAAGCCAAGTATTTAAATCTAAGAAGTCACTAAGCCCCTCCTCAGAGAGCAAAGTGGTGTGTTCAGTTTTGGACTCTTCATTTATGGCTGGAAAGGGTTTGTAGGAAGCTGCAGAGATGGCCAAGGAGAGGGAGGATACACTGAAAAAAAAAAGATATCGGGGAATTGAAGGTGTTGAGCCTTGGGACAAAGTAAATATGTATGTTTAGGTATGTGAAGAGTTTTTAACACAAAAGATAGCAACTAGCTGTTCTGTCTTCACTGAGGACAGAATAAGAGGAAACTGCTCTGTCACTAGGGGCCCTTGTGGTGCAGTGGTTAAGAATTTGGCTGCTAACCAAAAGGTCAGCAGTTAGAATCTACCAGCCACTTCCTGGAAACCCTATGGGGCAGTTCTACTCTGTCCTATAGGGTCACTATGAGTCGGAATCGACTCAACGGAAATGGGTCTGGTTTTGGTTTGGGCTCTGTAACTGCAGAGTGAGATTTGACATGAGAGACCTTCTGGTGTGACTGATGGTTCCATCAGTGGCACTGAGAGAGTTTGAAGGCCCTCTCCTGGAAGGCTTAAGGGATAATTCTGAAAGTATCTGCTTCAGTCTTGCGAAATACCATGTGTTGGTTTCCAGTGCTGAGAAAATTAGGCAGCACCCCCAGAATACATCTCTGAAATGTGGCCTTAATTTTCTGTGGCTCTTTCTTTGGTTTTTGTGGAAAATGTATTTGTAGTAGAATTCTGAACATGGAAGATGCAGATAGAGTCATTTGTTCAACACATTTATTGATTTGCCTACAGAGTGCAGTGCTAAATAAAACAAACCCGGGCTCTGTTTCAGTAACTCTACTATCCAGTGGGAAAGCAAGACATCAGCCACCTTCAAAAATAAATATAATTATGACAATGAGAGTATAACAGTGTGGGGGGTGTCCCCACTGGGTATGGGAGGTCAGGGGCTTTTTAGTTCTAAATGGTGGGTAAGAGAACATTCCAGGCAGACGGAGCAGCAGGTAAGAAGGCCCTGAGATGGGAAAGAATTGAAGGTCAGAATGTCTGGAGATGAGAGAAGTAGTAGGAGCCCTGGGCGGCACAACTGTTAAGCGTTTGGCTGCTAACCAGAAGGTTGGTGGTTGGAGCCCATTCAGTGGCTTTGCAGAAGAAAGTCCTGGCAGTCTGCTCCCATAAAGATTACAGCCTAGGAAACCCTGTGGGGCAGTTCTACTCTACCATATGGGGTCGCTATGAGTCACAATTGTCTCGATGGCACCTAACAAGAATTACAGAGAAGAAGTGAGGTACATTGATGAGGCTGAAGTCGGGGAGACAGGTAGCAGATCAGTCAGGACCTTGTAAGATGGTAAAGATTTTGCTCTATTATCCTAAGGGCAGTGGGAATCCACTGAAGGGCTGATACCATTCTGGCTCTTTGAAGGGGTGGGATCAGGGTAGATGTGAGGAAGAGAGTGTCATCAGTGGAAGTGATGGGCATGAATGGACTCCAGGTGTATTGTATTTTGGAATTATTCAGGCAGCTGTGTGTGGATTTTCTGAACCCAATGACAGAGGTAACCAGTAGGAAGTGGGAGTGGACTCCTGAGAAGGAATTAGCATAAAAAAATGGAGGGGGACTGATGTTATAGCTTAACTTAATGCGGCAATATATAGTATTTGAAGGCTATCAGAGCCTTTGTCTTTGTAAAGCAGCAAATATTTATCAAGTGACTACTAGGTTCTTGGATATAGGAGTCCTCATTATCAGAGTTCATCATCTGAGTCCTGCAGTTACAAGGATGTGTGGGGAAGTAAAAGCTGTTGTCACAAATACGTTAAACTGACCATTAATTTAGTAGTCCCAATTGAGCACCTCCCTGCTTACTACTAGTGCCAGGTCCCTCTCACTGTGGGGACATCCTTGTAGCCCAGCCTTTCTGTGACCATCCAATGCAAGGTGAAATTTCAGATTTTGCAAAAGATGCATGATTACAAAAAGTCTTTGAAAGCAACGTGGGAGGACTGCTTGAATCCCACCCAAAACCCTTGACAAATAAGGAACTGACAGAGCTAGACCAGTTATCTTTTTTTTTTTATTGTACTTTAGGTGAAGGTTTACAGTACAAATAGTTTCTCATTAAACAGTCAGTACAGTACTCTGTACTGTACTGTACTCATATTGTTTTATGACATTGGTTAACAACCCCACAACATGTCAACATGCTCCCTTCTCAGCCTTGGAGGACTTTTTTTTTTTGGTGAAAATATACATAGCCAAAGATACACCATTTCAAAAATTTCTACATGTACAATTCAGTTACGTCGATTACGTTCTTCCAGTGTGCTGCTATTCTCACTTTAGGTGAAGGTTTACAGAACAAAATAGTTTCTCATTAAACAGTTAGTACACCTATTGCCCTATGACAGTGGTTAAGAACCCCACTACATGTCAACACTATCCTTACTCAACCTTGGGTTCCCTATCACCAGCTTTCCTGTCCCCTTCTGCCTTCTAGTGCTTGTCCCTGGACTGCTGTGCCTCATTAGTCATAGTTTTGTTTTATGGGGCCATCCAATCCCGGACTGAACGGTGAATCTCGGGAGTGACTTCACCACTGAGCTAAAAGGGTGTCTGGGGGCCATACTCTTGAGGTTTCTCCAGTCTCTGTCAGGCCAGTAAATCTGTTTTTTTTTGTGTGTGTGTGTTAAAATTTTGTTCTACATCCTTCTCCAGCTCTGTCCAGAATCCTCTGTTGTGATTCTGGTCAGAGTAGTCAATGGTGGTAGCCGGGCACCATCTAGCTGTACTGGACTCAGTCTGGTGGAGGCCTTGGTAGCTGTGGTCCGTTAGTCCTTTGGACTAATCTTTTCCTTGTATCCTGTTCTCTTCGTCTCCCTTGCTCCCGAAGGGGTGAGACCAGTGGAGTACCTTAGATGGCTGTTCACAGGCTTTTAAGACGCCAGACACTACTCACCAAGGTAGAATGTAGAACAATGTCTTTATAAACTGTTAAGCCAATTGAGCTAGATGTTCCCCAAGACCATGCAGACTAGTTATCTTCTGAAGAAATTAACATCAACAAGGATGATGATATGAGTATGATCTGAATATCGAAAGATTAAGAGAGGCCTTTGGGCAAACCAAGGGTACACTAGAATGATTTTGCAAAAGTTAACTTTATCATTTGCGCTGCAATGCCAAATGTGAAATAATTATAAAAATTCTAATCCTTTCACTACCCTCTCCACTCCCAAACCCCATCTTTTCATTCATTCTTTGTTAATCCAAGGATTAGCACATATTGTTATTTATTATAAATTGTGTTGGAGCCGTGGTGGCATAGTGGTTAAGAGCTTGGCTGATAACCAAAAGGTTGGCAGTTCAAATCCACCAGACACTCCATGGAAACTCTATGAGGCAGTTCTACTCTGTCCTACAAGGTCACTATGAGTTGGAATTGACTTGCCGGCAATGGGTTTGGCTTTTTTTTGAGGGGGGGGGAGTATAAATTTTGTTGAATTAAAGGTAGGCTTTTTTCAAAATAAAGTTTTAATCAACTATTTTTTCTTATCATTAGTTGTTATAAAATTTTTGACCCCATTTTAAGTGGATTTAGCAATAAGGACCTCCTGTAAATAGATAAAGGAGCTCTGGTGGTACAGTGGTTAAGCACTCACTCAGCTGCTAACCGAAAGATAGGCAGTTTGAACCCATCAGCCGCTCCTCAGGAGAAAGATGTGGCTGTCAGCTTCCGTAAAGATTATAGCCTTGGAAGCCCTATGGGCAGTTCTACTCTGTCCTTTAGAGTCACTGTGAGTCAGAAAGGACTAGACAGCAATAGAAGGGGTATACGTATAGATAAATTAGCATGTGTATTTACAAGGAACTGAGAAATAAATTCACACTATAATGGAATATTTAAATGAAACAAAAGGCAATATCTGACATTAATATCATAAATGATCTCTCAAATTTTGCCATTGGGATGGAGAGGGTGAGGGAAGATGAAAGGGCCTATTTAAGGAAGAAAGATGGACCAAATTAGTGCCATTTTACAAATGTGATGCAGGTTTCAGAAAGCAACTCTTTGTCATTTTCTTTCTTGCCTATGTGTGATTTGCAGAGCAATCAAACCCCTCAGTACAGTAATCCCCCTTATCTGTGGCTCCACTTTCCTCGGTTTCAGTTACCCACGGTCAATCGTGATCTGAAAATGTTAAATGGAAACTTCCAGAAATAAACAATTCATGTTTTATGTTGCCCGAAGTTCTGAGTAGCTTGATGAAATCTCAAACCTTTCCACTCTGTCCAGCGGGGACGTGAATCATCTCTTTGTCTAGCGTATCCAAGCTGTATATGCCACTCATCCATTAGTCACTCAGTAGCTGTCTGGGTTATCAGATCAACTGTCACGGTATCACAGTGCTTGTGTTCAAGTAACCCTTCTTTTAATAATTGTTCTATTTTATTACTAGTTATTGTTGTTACTCTCTTACTGTGCCTAATTTATAAATTAAACTTTATCATAGGTGTGTATGTATGGGAAGAAACATAGTATACATAGGGTTGGGTACTATCCAAGGTTTCAGGCACCTGTTGGGGGTCTTGGAAAATATCCCCCTCGGATAAGGGGGAACTTCTGTAGTTATAAATGTGACCTTAAATCTAGACCACTCCCCTTTGTTTTTCAGGCTGCAAGTGGCTATCTCGTGGTGGTTTTTGTGTATGTGATGGAATTAATTGGCATGAAGTCTCGGACATGGGCATCCATCCACATGCATTCCTTCTTTGCGACTGGAATAATGGTGGTGGCTTTGACAGGCTACTTGGTCAGGACCTGGTGGCTCTACCAGGTAGTCCTCTCCACAGTGACAGTCCCCTTTGTTCTGTGCTGTTGGATGCTCCCAGAGACACCTTTCTGGCTTCTCTCAGAGGAAAGATATGAAGACGCACAGAAAGTAGTTGATATGATGGCCAAGTGGAATAGAGCAAGCTCCTGTAAATTGTCAGAACTTCTATCACTGGATCTAAATGGCCCTGCTCATAGCAACTGCTCTGAAGTAAAGAAGCACAACTTAGTAGATCTGTTTTGTGACTGGAAAATTGCAATAAGAACCCTTACTGTTTGGTTGATTTGGTTCACGGGGAGTTTGGGATTCTACTCGTTCTCCTTGAATTCGGTTAATTTAGGAGGCAATGAATATTTAAACCTCTTCCTCATGGGTAAGTATTAAAATAATATGTGGCAATGAAGTAGAATTTCTACCATGTCTTTTAGTATTTTTATTGTTTTTTTCTACCAGGGATAATACTGCCAACCATTTTATTATGGAATCTTTTATTATTATTGTACTGTAACACATGTAGATATTTTCTTTTGAAAAATGCAAACGGTTCAGAAGAATTTTGTTCTCCTCCCTCCCTCGTGCCTCTTCTCTTCGCTTGCTTTCTTCCTTCCTTCCCACTCCCACCCTAGAACTCCCTTCCTCAGAGGTAACTTCTGTAACTTTTGACTTGCAACCTGTCAGGCCTCTTTCTATAAACTTCCATACATTTGTACATATAAACATTTTATGTTTAAACATAAATGAGACCATATTCACTACATATTGTCCTTAGTAAATTGCTTTCTTTAAAAAATGTACTATGTCTTAGAGATCCTCTGGTATCCTTCTACCTTTAAACATGCTTTAAACATGCTTTTAAATACATGCAACATATAACTTATGTTGTCATGCTTCCTTCATTTTAGTAGCAGATTAAAATGGCTTCAGGTATTGCTGTGACATGCTCCTCAAGTAAACTAAATTCATACTAAACATAAGAGAAATATTAGAAATCTGTATTTGTCCATCTAGTTTAGACTTAACCTGTTGCTGTTGAGTTGATTTCGACTCATAGCGACCCTACAGGACAGAGTAGAACTGCCCCATAAGGTTTCCAAGGAGTGGCCCGTGGATTTGAGCTGCCAGCCTTTTGGTTAGCAGCCGAGCTCTTCACTGTGCCACCAGGGCTTCAGTTTAGACTTAACACTTGGTTATTTCTGTGTAGGCTGCCTATATTTGATATTATCCTCAGAAAACCTTGCCTTTTAATTTCTATACATAGATTTCATTCCTTCTCATTGAAGTCCTCTGTTGACACACATCTATGTTTATTACAGCTCAGCAGGAATTATGAGAGGAGTTATTTTAAGAAAAAAACTTCACTCTCTTTTTTGGGAAAACCATTGACAAGTTTGTAGAAAGAGCCCGTCTTGACTTCAAACCCATTTTGTATGTCAGTTTTAGAAATGATACCATATTCCTAGAACAGAGAAACAAATGGCATAACGAAGCTTAGAAAAGCTGGAATTTGGGATCTTGATGGTATACTTTAATTTTGATGGAGATCTAAATTTTCAAGAAACTGGGCAACCTCAGAAATATAAAAATGTTTCCAAAGACAAATATGTACATAGTTTTATATTAACTACTTTTTCATGTTATTTTCCTTTCCATTAGTGACCTAGCTGACTGATGCGTCTAGTCAATAGTTCTATGCTATGAAATTTTTGAACAAGTTTTCATCTCCTGAGATGATTTGGGGCTGGTGGCAATTTCAGCTCTATTTTTGTGCCGCCTGAAGGTCCTAAACATTTCAATAGTTTCAAGAGATACCTTTGGTGTTATGTGGTGGTAGGGGCTGGATGGTGGTCCAAGTGTCTAGAAGGACTAAGTATTATAAGAGAGAGGATGGGGAGACATTTTCTCACGTACTTTGGACATATTATCAGGAGGGACCAGTCCCTGGAAAAGGACATCATGCTTGGTAGAGAGTCAGTGAAAAAGAGGAATACCCTCAACAAGATGGATTGACACAGTCGCTGCAACAATGGGCTCAAGCATAACAACAATTGTGAGGATGGAGAAGGACGGGGCAGTGTTTCATTCTGTTGTACATAGGGTTGCTATGACTCAACAGCAACAAGTTTTATGCCTGTGATATAGATACTGCAAGCAATGAGTCCTAGCCCTTTTGGGATGAGGACAACATGCCATTACTTTCTTCATTTTGTAATACATATTGTTGTTGTTGTTGTTAGGTACCGTTGAGTCATTTCCCACTCATAGCGACCCATCGTACAACAGAACGAAACACTGCCTGGTCCTGCGCCATCCTCACAATCATGGCTATGCTTGAGTCCATTGTTGTAGCCACTGTGTCAGTCCATATCATTGAGGGTCTTCCTCTCTTTTGATGACCCTCTACTTTACCAAGCATGATGTCCTTCTCCAGGACATCAAAGGCATAGTCAGGCCAAAAATCAGATGTAGGCAGACAGCAGCATCCTGAAACACCAACTAGAATAAAACCAGTGTAGTGCACTTTTACATTTCTCCCCATCCATTTCACAGTTGCTGCATAGCTTTGCAAGATCCAGGAAGTTGTTTGGTGACCGTGCATACAGTCCTGAGCCAGACATGAGGGAGGCAACGGGAAGCTGCAGAAAGGGGCTTTGGCCTCCCCAAAGCCTTGCTTCCAAACTGTGAGCTGTCACTTGGCTCAAATAATATAATCTTAGCTGTAAAGTGAGGATAATGATCCATGTTTGCACTTGGTTACTAACTGAAAGGTTGGCTGCTCGAACCCACCTAACATCTCTAACCTACCTAGTGACTCTATGGAAGAAAAGGTCAGGCAGTCTGCTTCCATAAAGATCACGGCCAAGAAAACCCTGTGGAGCAGTTCTACTTTGTAACACATGGAGTCGCCATGAGTCGAAATCGACCTGATGGCATAAGACAACAACAACCACCACCCACCATGAGGCTTTTTGGAGGATCAGTTTATTTGATCCTAAAAAATGCTTGATAAACCAAAAAAAAAAAAAAAGAGTGGAGTACAGTAATAGATCTATAATCTGACCTGGTCAGCAGACACAGGTCTTAAGGTAGGGTCTGTCCGACCTTAGAAAATGCTACATTTTCTTTCAGAGCTGTTTATTTTCCAATTAATGAAGGGGAAAGCCACCTTCTCTCAAATGGTTTAATTCTGCCTTTGTCTGAGCCAGTTCTTTTCTAAGCAACTGTAACCAAGTTTAATTTCTGATGCACTACTAATTATGTTGGAGCCCTGGTGGCATAGCAGTTAAGAGCTCAGCTGCTGACCAAAAGGTCAGCAGTTCAAATCTATCAGCTGCTCCTTGGAAACCCTATAGGACAGTTCTGCTCTGTCCTGTAAGGTCACTATGAGTCAGAACCGACTCGATGACACCTAACAACAACTTCTAATCATGTTAACTCCACAAAATGTGTATCCACCCCCTGTGATATGTTCCAGAAGCGGCGAGAGACATATGGACTCACCTCTGCAGATACTTGTGACATACCCATAGTAGAGTGGACAAATGCACATCACCGGTAAAAGGCAGTAGTGGACAGTGTCCCGGGGTAAGGCAAGCTGGAGAGGGAGGAAAGATTATAGAACCATGACTTACATGGAGATCTGGGCTGGTAAACAGTGAAAGCTGGTTTTGTTGAGAAATCTTCTTGCTTGCTCCCTGATTAGTTCTGGCTGATAGCTATAAAGCTTTCTTGTTCTGGAACTAAGTTTCCAACTTTGGTTCTACAAAGAAAGGGTTTTTAAATCAATGGAAATGGATTTACGGACTCAGCGCTTTACTTTTTGTCGTGAGAGAGTAAAAGGAGGTCCAAGATAAGCCCTTTCCTCTAGGAGATTCATATTAGATTTTAAAATGTTTACTGTTAGGTTTAAATTTATTAAGCAGTAGCATTAGTTTCAGAAGAAAAATGTGGCAGGCTGCTCCTGTAAAGATTTACAGTCTTGGAAACCCTGTGGGGCAGTTCTGCTCTTCCCTATAGGGTTGCTATGAGTTGGAGTCTACTCAATGGCAATGGGTTTGGGGTTTTGATTACCATTAGTTTACGTACCTTAGCAGATACTGCACTCTCTACCTTAGCTCTGCCAAGCATTGCTGTTGTTGGGTGTCGCTGAGTCAATTCCGACTCATGGTGACGGCATGTGACAGAGTAGAACCGCCCCATAGGGTTTTCTTGGCTGTAATCTTTATGGAAGCAGATGCATAAGAACCCCTAAATCAGAAATAAGCAGTGTTGTCTTAATTAATTTACCTTTTATTCAACAGGCCTGCCCTCCAGTCACAGTGTGTGTCCTGGGGAGCTTACAGTATACTAGAACAGGTGATAAGTGCCTGTGGGATTATGTGAGCATTAGTGCATTGCACAGGAAACATTCCTCATTCCAGTGAGTTTCAAGTGGTAGGGCTCGCTGCCTGCAAACTCTTAGGAAGTTCTCAGAGGCCCCTGGTGGCAGGGAGAGAGCTGATCATTCCTTTTGGATGGTGGCTGAGAAGGCAGGATCCCCCGTGCAGTTTGGCACCACAGTTTATAGAGGCCCCTCAATGGTAGGTTCCTGCGTGGCACAAACGGTTTGCTCTGGGCTACTAACTGAAAGGTTGGAGGTTTGAACTCACCCAGCTGTGCTACGGAAGGCCTGGCAATCTGCTTCCGTAAAGATTACTGCCTAGAACGCGCTATGGAGCAATTCTGCTCTGTAACACGTCGGATTGCCATGAGTCAGAATCAATTTGATGGCATTGAGTTTGTTTTGTTTTGTTTTGTTTTCCGCTTAATGACAGGTGCAGTGGAACTTCCTGCCTATGTCTTCACGTGCATCGGGATGGATAAGGTGGGGAGAAGAAACATTCTGGTCTTCTCCCTTATAGCAAGTGCACTGATCTGTGGTGCAATTATGGTGATCCCCCAGGTGAGTTACAAGTTATTTTACATTTCATTGTCTTTGGGAATGGTTAGTTATACTAAGTCATGGCAGCTTGATGGGAGGATTTTGTAGCCATTAAAATAAGCATAATATACACATGGAAAGAGTATTACATAATATTTAAAAATGTGTTTTCTTAAAAGAAACTATTTTTCTCCATTGTACAAGCATTGCATGTTCTTTGTAGAAACTGTATTTTAAAAAAATCCATAATCCCACTTCCCAGAGTTAACAGTATTGCATGTTGTAAGTAAAATAATCTTGAGTTGGAAAAGTGATTACAGTTGTTCAAATTGATTGTGTACAAAGAAAGAGAGCAGAAGAGACAATAAAAGGCAAAGGCAAATTGTTTCTGTGTTAAGGAGAACGGCAGGTATTTTGATTAATTTTTAAATAAAAATTTTGTTTTCTTAGAACTGCTCTTAAAGTACCCAGTAATTATTATGATTATGGAATAATGTACTGGTGCCTTTAAAAAGTTAGCATAACAAGTAAGAATGTTCTTTCCCAAGCAAATAGCTATATGAAGATTTATTCATTCATTCATTCAACGAAGATTTATCCAGCGTCTTTTGTGTGCCAGGTGCTGTTCTAGTTTAAGTGTATGAATGTAGTTTCTGTAAGTGTAATAAAGAAAAATAAAATAGAATGAGAGATAGAGAATGGTTGTGTTTGTGTGTATGTGTATACACATACGTAGGTACTATTTTATCTAGGATGGTCAAGGACTGTCTCTCTCTCAGAGAAGGTGACATTTGACCAGAGACCTGAATGACAGAAGAACCATGGAGACAACTGAAGGATATAAGGAATCAAATATTCAGGATTGTTCCCATTTAAATACTCTTGCTTTTCGTTGCAGTCATTAGTAGCTTTTAACTTCCAGTATGCATAAAAATCCTCTGAGGAGCTTGTTTTTAAAAATGCAGTTTCTTAATGAGAAACACTGCCATAAACTACTGAAACAACTTCTGCATTCTGATATTTTGGCAAAGTAGATCCCTCAGAATACCTCTTGCATCCAGAAGTGCCCTGCCCACCCCTCAAAAAAAGTTTTAAAAGCCTGTATTTTTGTTCTCGATTTGGAAAATATGGTCGCTAGAACAATAATTTAAAATGTTTTATATAATTTCCACCTGCTGTTATGTAACTGGAGCTCTGGTGGCACAGTGGTTAAGAGCTACGGCTGCTAATCAGAAGATCAGCAGTTCAAATCCACCTACTGCTCCTTGGAAACCCTATAGGGCGGTTCTATTCTGTCCTATAGGGTCGCTATGAGTCGGAATCAAGTCTACGGCAAAGGGTTTGGTTTTCTGGGGGTTATATAATTATTAAGCAATGGTATATCAACATTTAAAGCAAAGCATTCTAAGTTTTGAAGACAGTTTGAAATTTACTTTCAGCTGTGCTGTTGTTGTTAGGTGCCGTCGAGTCAGTTCCGACTCATAGTGACCCTATGTACCACAGAACAAAACACTGCCGGGTCCTGCATCATCCTCACAATCGTTGTTATGCTTGAGCCCATTGTTGCAGCCACTGTGTCAGTCCATCTCGTTGAGGGTCTTCCTCTTTCTCACTGACCGTCTGATTTACCAAGCTTGATGTCCTTCTCCAAGGACGGATCCCTTCTGACAACATGTCTAAAGTATGTAAGACATAGTCTGGCCATCCTTGCTCCTAAAGAGCATTCTGGTTGTACTTCTTCCAAGACAGATTTGTTCGTTCTTTTAGCAGTCCATGGTATATTCAATACTCTTCGCCAACACCATGAATCAAAGGCGTCAAATTCTTCTTCAGTCTTCCTTATTCATTGTACAGCTTTCACATGCATATGATGCAATTGAAAATACCATGGCTTGGGTCAGGCGCACCTTAGTCTTCAAGGTGATATCTTTGCCTTTCAATACTTTAAAGAGGTCTTTTGCAGCAGATTTGCCCAATGCAATGCGTCTTTTGATTTCTTGACAGCTGCTTCCATGGGTGTTGATTGTGGATCCAAGTAAAATGAAATCCTTGACAACTTCAATCTTTTCCCCCTGTATCATGATGTTGCTTATTGGTCCAGTTGTGAGGAATTTTGTTTTCTTTATGTTGAGGTGTAATCCATACTGAAGGCTGTGGTCTTTGATTATCATCAGTAAGTGCTTCAAGTTCTCTTC